CAAACAGCAAGTAGGAGAGGCAATCACCGCCACACAAATGCACGCCGCAGGAGGAGAGAGATAAGGTCCACACACAGTTAAAACCTCGGCAGGTTTACTTCTATTCCACATAAACGAATGAACGGCTGTACAATAACTCTATCAGCAGGGCCGTTAGCGAGGAGGCTGTTCAAGCTTTTGGATATCAGGCATATCAATAGGATGAATATCAACCTGTCACCAGTCTCTGGCTATTATTTAATTGACTTGACGCTATCGATGTCTCTCACGAACCTCACGCTCGATTTGCCCAAATATGCACATAGCCTCTCGCCTAGAGCTATTCCAAGGTCGGCACTATTCCATGGGTTTGACTCTTCGGAGCTTCATACACTTAGCTTTGTCCTCCACAAGCGCAAACAGTTTGGTTTGCTTTGGAATGGTTTATTTGAATCTCCATTAGTGACAAGTCACAAGTTTTCCTGGAGTCCACATTAAAAGATTGCAATACATTACAACAGAAATGGACGACGATTTATACAATGGAAATAACAGAAAACTAACATTCGCTGAACTCAAAATAATATGAATCAATCATACAACAAAGTATACAACGTATCCAATTGATTTACAGTGAATTCGACAACGAAAAGAAAATTCAGAGTAGGAGAGATCAGAGGTCTGATCAAAAGTGGTTTATGTAACTTCCTCGGCCATCCACTGAAGAGTGTGATAAGTGGGTTCAAACGATTTCCGTTTAGTAGTACGTGTGATCTTGTCCTTACTTCATCAGCTGTGTCCGGTGAATTGATCATGAAGTCTTTGATTTTCGATGGTCTGACTTCACGGGGGTTCATAATTAGCTTAGACAAAAGGCTACTTTGCGAATTGATTGATTGAATTGGTTCTACCATGGAGGTACTCAATCTACTGTATGATTGGATCAACCCAGAGTATCTCCGAATTTCGTGCATAGACTATACATAATCTACTACACACGCAAAAAGGTGAGCTTTGACAGGTCCAAGATTTCAAGCATCATAAGATTTTTCTGACAACGTAAATACTGCCCATGTAAATAATGTCCAGGTTGATAATGTCCAGACAAATATACTATCGTAGTAAATGCTGTCCAAATAAATGCTGTCCAAGTAAATGCTGTCCAAGTAAATGCTGCCCAAGTAAATGCTGTCCAAGTAAATGCTATCCAAGCAAATACTATCCAAGTAGATACTGTATAAGTAAATGCTGTCCAAGTAAATTATGTCTAAGTAAATTTTGTCCAAGTAAAATGCTGTCCAAGTAAATACCAGTACTATCCAGGTAAATCTTAAAAATGAACAAGTGGGGTTCTTGAGAGGTTGATGTATGTGGTTTATGTAACTCTTCCCCGGTCATCCACTGAAGAGTGTGATGAGTGGGTTCAAACGATATCCGTTTAGTAGTACGAGTGATCCTGTCCTTACTTTATCAGCAGTGTCCGGTGAATTGATTATGAAGTCTTTGATTTTCGATGGTCTGGCTTCACGGGGGTTCATAATTAGCTTAGACAAAAGGCTACTTTGCGAATTTTGATTCTACTCAATCTACTGTATGATTGGATCAACCCAGAGTATCTCCGAATTTCGTGCATAGACTATACATAATCTACTACACACGCAAAACGGTGAGTTTTGGAAGGTCCTTGAGGGTATCATAAGATTTTTATGACAAGGTAAATACTGTCCATGTAAATAATGTCCAGGTTAATAATGCCCAGGAATATACTATCCTAGTAAATGCTGTCCAACTAAATGCTGTTCAAGTAAATGCTGTCTAAGTAAATGCTGTCCAACTAAATGCTGTTCAAGTAAATGCTGTCTGAGTAAATGCTATCCAAGTAAATGCTATCCAAGTAAATACTGTATAAGTAAATGCTGTATAAGTAAATTATGTTTAAGTAAATTTTGTCCAAGTAAATACCAGTACTATCCAGGTAAATTTTAAAAATGAACAAGTGGGGTTCTTGAGAGGTTGATGTATGTGGTTTATGTAACTCTTCCCCGGTCATCCACTGAAGAGTGTGATGAGTGGGTTCAAACGATATCCGTTTAGTAGTACGAGTGATCCTGTCCTTACTTCATCAGCAGTGTCCGGTGAATTGATCATGAAGTCTTTGATTTTCGATGGTCTGGCTTCACGGGGGTTCATAATTAGCTTATACAAAAGGCTACTTTGCGAATTAATTGATTGAATTGATTCTACTCATCTACTGTATGATCTGAACAAACCAGAGTATCTCCGATTTTCGTTTATAGACTTGCAAAAACGTACGTTTTGAAAGGTCCAAGAAAGCATCACAAGATTTGTTTGCCGAGGTAAATACTATCCATGTAAATGCTTCCCGTGTAAATGCTTCCCATGTAAATGCTGTCCATGTAAATGCTGGCCATGTAAATACTGCACCAGTAAATATTATACATTAAGTAAATACTGTCTAAGCAAATGCTGCCCATGTAAATTCTGTCCAAGTAAATGCTATCCAAGTAAATGCTGTTCAAGTAAATACTGTCCAAGAAAATGCCGTCCAAGTAAACGTTGTCTTACATTCAAGCGGTGTTGCTGCAAAGCTTATGCTGCGCATACAATTAACCTGCATATTGCTCCCCTTACACAACTGTAATCCCGTTATGAAATCATTTCCTTCAACAAGTGTACATCTGTACAAGCAGAATAGAAGAAGTTTGCCTTCTACACAGCTGCACATTTGAACTCGAGCGCAACGAGGTCTGAAATTTCCCTCCACCTCTCCAGCTAATGGCCTCCACAGGTGTTCATTAAACTACGATCTGTATTCCTCACGAGTCCTGGCTTCAAGCATCAGAACGAACAGCAGACCTGTTACCCCGAACCCGTGCAGAGACACATGGACGTAATCTACGGAACGCAAAAGCACTGACTTTACTGATCTCTCGTACCACTAGATACAGAAATAGTGCAGTACCGTCCATGATAAGAATACTTAATAGTTAATACTAAATGAAACCCAAGAACACTACTGACAAATGTTGCTTTTATATTTATGTCACGTCAGAACTTCATTACTCGTACACCACATGTTTTTTAAAGTAAGACGCTCCTTTTAATGTACCATTAACGATTTTATAATGTATATAATGTATTTTATAATGTATAATGTTTTTAAACGAATGTTACAATTGGCGAAATTCAGCCTGGTGCTGCGAAGTCGGTTGAGAATAAACCATTTGATTGATTGATTTGATTGTTCACAGCAACTTCATTTTTCTGTTGTCGTTTAGAATTGTCTGTTTTTTTATCAGTATGATTTGCGTTTGTAATTCTATTTCTAACCATATTACTTTACTTCTCCTGATGATTTGTATTTACTAATTAGTTCAATGATGTCTTTTATCTTACTTTCGTATCACTGAGTCTGTATTATCTGTAGTAGATTTTATGTCGATCCGTGGTACTTCTTTGCATTTGTTTGTGTTATTTTTTATAAAAATAAGAAATTGAAAACAAAATTGGATCCAGGTGTGTTCAATCAACAATAATTTGTATTCCTCACGACACGTGTGTTCGTATCCGTAGAAACTTCATTTCTCTGTTGCCATGCAGAATGCCATCTGCTGGTGGCAGTTTTTGTTCAGAAGGGCCACTGAACTGTGATGCATACAATTAAGCCCCATGCTTAAGGCAAACGCGAAGAGTCCCCATTAGTGCTGTACATTCAACGCCCATTTTTTTTAAAAGTTGTTTTCGCTTCTTATAGTCCTACTAATGAGCTGGTTGACGTACATGCATCTCGTGTCCGCGCACTTTGTATCGTTGGCATCGTGCTTCAAAACAGCCACAACGTGTTTTAAAAGTGCGCACTTAAGCGCGAGGGGTGTTCTTTGTTCACACAACTTGGCTCGGGAATACATTAAAGCTGGCTCGTCGCATAAGACCGAAATTATTGGCTGAAACGGCCCACGCACTTTGGCACTTCAGTTCATGCGGAGGGAGCATGGTAAGCCCCCAGATCGGGCAGATGATATGGAATGGATTATATTTATGAGGGTATCTGAAGTGAAGCAGCGCATCTCTGAGACATTTCCGTGAGAAAACTTCGAAAAATACGGATCATGAATGTACATGGAGGTATCCCGGATGTACATGCAGGTGTCCCGGATGTACATACAGGTATCCCGGATGTACGTGCATGTATCCCGGATGTACATGCAGGTATGCCAGATGGACTTTCTGAAAGAATGCCGGGTACAGCCTCAATATGGATGCTACTGTAAAACTACTCAAACAGTTGCTACAAGACGAGGTTGGTTAAGGGGAGGACAAAAATTTATTGGCGCCAGAATGCCATCCATATAACCAAATCAACATGGCCTAACTGGTGACACCACTAGTGTGTCAAAAAGGAGTACTAGTATCCATGTCCACATCTAACGTTTTCTGGTATCAAGCATTGGGTCAGTAATTGTCACAAGAAAGGGGACAGGCATGACCTTCAAACAACGTCATTCTATCTAACGTTTGACAGTACGGTACGGTCGAATCCAAATAACTTGACAATACATCTAACAGAGTGCGGCACTTTGCTTTGAGATGCATCCTTCAAATATCATCATATAAGCACATTACCAAAGGTACTTGGCAACATTCAAGTTTAATTTCACGGATGGCTTTTCACATGTTCCCAAACGGTCAAGTGTCAACGGCGCCATCCTGCAAGTTAAAGTGCGTGTGCACATGCGTCACCTCGCTCAATCAACCTCATTAACCTCATGCTTACCACTTACGTTAATAGACAAAAAAGTCGTTAGAACGAAAACCCTGGGAGCTATTGCCATTCAGAAATTAGTCCCGATCTTGATAAAGGCACTTCTACCCGTTGAATAGGATAGCCTGACGTCGTTGCATGTCATTAGACAGAGTACTTGTATCTTACTTGCGCACATGTTTCTCATTTCAGGACACTTCACTGCCTTCCTGGAAAAAAAATCTCAAGCAGGCCCAAATCCTGCGTCCTGTCTACGAAAATACCTCCTGCCGACAAAGCCACAATGCCGCTCCAAGCACTCTGACGATCCTTTCTATCCGGAAAAATAGCCCCAAAAGAGCGGGCGACATTCTCATTTGTTTAAAAGCTTCATTGACGTCAACAGCATCTTTAGAAACCATGTGTTCCGGCTATGCTTATTACTGGTAGATATTCAACATTTTGTCCGGACAAAACCGGAAATTTCAGCACCTCTGGTGACAAACTAGTCGAAATTTGATCGCCTTTATCAAAAAGAGTGCTATGGAGGCAACGGCAGAAAATTCCACCGGCGTTGCGGATCTGCTGGCATCGATGGCGTTGCCTGCTGACGTGGGCAGCCTGGTGAACTACAGCGAGGAGGGGACGGGGTATGTGGAGTCCGACTACGGAGACTTCACCGCCATCAACTCGTCCTTCAAGCAGTCTACGGTGATCATGGTCATCTACATCCTCATGTACGCTGTGATCTTCATGCTGTGCGTCTGCGGCAACACAAGCGTGCTGTACATGATCCTCAGGACGCCCAAGGCCAGAGGCGTCGTCACCAACTTCTTCATCATGAACCTGGCGTCTGGAGACCTCGTCCTCGGGCTGGTCAACCTTCCCTTCACACTCGTCACCTACATATATGTCGGTAAGTGGAATCTGGTTCTATCCTGTGGCGAAGTTCGTTACTCACGGCCACTTGTTTTCATCCTTTTTTTTTTATTTCAACGAAAAAGAACAGAGACATAATCATTCAACTTGAAATGATCATCAAATATAATAATAATAAATCTGTATCTGTATAGGTGTAACCGGTATAACCGCCCTCCAGTGTAACACACCAGCTTCGCAGGCACGCGGCGTGGCGGCAGCTAGCTATATTACACCGAAAAACCTGTTACACCCAATCCTTGCACATTACACCTTACGCGAAAGACTTGCGTATACGCTAGACATTGTTGCTTTCGTAATTAGGATGTTAAGTTTTATTCTGTACCCTTTTTCTGAACAATATCCAACATTTTTTGCCATACATTGTGCCATGTACAATTGTCGTGCAATAACGTTCTTCCTTTTGTACATGATTCTAAACCTGTATTCCTCCATGTGCTTACAGAAGACCAGTTTGGAGACACCCTGTGTAAGCTGGTGCCCTTCATCAGAGGAACCCTTGTCAGTACCTCCATCTTCACGGTCACCGCCATTGCCTTTGAGCGGTGAGTATCTGTACTTTTTTTTTTATTCCAACCTTTATCACAAGACATGGCGACAGCACACTCAAGTTTTCTCAACTTATATTTATGCCACCACCAACGCAGACAAACGCATGAACGGACAGCAGACATACTCATTTTCATCAGAGTAAAGTGAGGAAATTCGTGTTAAGTTCCTTTCCGAAGGGCACAAGATCGGTGGCATGGCAAGATTCGAACTCGGGACCTTCTGAGACAAACACTCACCTTGTACCTAAGTACCTGTACCTACCTAGGCCAATACGAATAATTCTATGGCATAATGTGCCTCTTGAGCTCAAAATATCACCTTAAATAGGCATCATGTAACATTTTTTGTACCCAAAATCGTCATTTATGGTTGGCAATAAAGAAAAAGAACCACACGCGGTGCACTGTTTGTGGCACCATCACAAAATACCAGAATGCAACCAAACGTAGCTAATAGCTCTGTTTCAAGCTTTTAAACACACTTTCTGGCACTTATTTGCAATGAATTAGGGTTGATTCAACTCACTTTTTGCAACGCTTACGGTTTTTAAACATAAAATAGTTCACTTTGTGGTGAAAAATAGTTACATAACGCCCCTTTAATTGACAAAAAGTGGCAAATTAGGCGTAAATTATATCAAGAAGCAATCATTGTCAGGAAAATTCACTTATATATTCAACCCGTACGCTAAATTGCTTCGTACGTCAGCCAAATTGCTTTATAACGTACTTACCAGGGACATGATGAAGACGTGTACAGTAGTGCACCATGGATGTACTTAATGTTTTGGAAGACGATTCATGTCTATATGGTTTATGTCTAAATATTGGGATGAATGGCTTACCCATTAAAGACCTTTATTGTGAATATTTTATCTACTTTCTTGAGGAATTTAGATTTTTCTTTTCTATCAAAATATCTAAAACTAGGGAAGCTATCTTGTATACAATATTGAATATGATACCCTCGTTATGTAAGGTACAGTCCACGAAAAGATAAATATTCTGCTAGGGCATCTTTCTTCTCGTAAATATATGGCTTATTTCCACATTCACGAAAGTAAAAGACATCACCTTATGACATCGTGATACAACAGAACGCATATCATATATTTGAATATATCTTTACATGTAACGGTCCCCACAACGCAGAAATAGGTAGATATATAAAGGATTGCTTTGCTATTAGAAAAAATACCGAAACTTGTGATTAGCCCACTCGATTGTAACACTTTATAAAAGACTTGTGCTATCCCTTATTTGAATAATTATGATGTAGATATGTTAGGTTTTATTAGACATTAGGTTAACACATTTTATTGTTGTTACTCTTTTTATGTAGTTTGCCATACATTGTACCATGTGTAATTGCCGTGCAATAAAGTTCTTCTGTTATAAAGCCTTATCAGAACTGGGCTCCTAGAGGCCCATGGCTCAGAAACAATTTAAGGGCGACATATACACAGTGGACAGTGGCCATCCCTTGTACGTTTTAACGGTATTTTCTGTTGTCCTTATTGGGTTGTACTATTGAACAAATGGCAAGAAAATGTTGAAATGCCTACAGGTGAGAAGTGCGCTTCCTACCATAACCGCATGGGGTCACGATTAACTCATGGCCACTGCCATCTCGGACCTTCATCTTCTTCATCTTCATCTTTGCCGGGGCTCTGAAATGTTGTATGAGCCCCGGCTACACCCCCATATAGCCCATGTTGGGGCACTTTAGGGACCTGACTGATGTATAATTTTTTCTGTCCCTTTGCTCCACAGATACTACCTGGTTGTCTACCCGACGGAGGAGAAGATCTCGACCAAGACGGCCACCCGTGCCATCATGTCCATCTGGGTCGTGGCTGTGTTCATCAACGTGCCGGTGGCCATGGTACACCACAGCGAGGTGTACCTGGGGAAGCACGTCTGCATGCAGGCCTGGCCGGCCGACACGCTGCGCCGCGTTTACACGTGCTTCAAGCTCATCTCCTGCTACGCCTTACCTCTCGTCATCAACGCCGCGCTCAACTACGTCATCGTCATGAACATCTGGATCCGCCCTCCGGTCAAGAACAGGAACCCGTCCCCCAACAGACTCCGCGCCGTGAAGATCCTGGCGGCCACCACGGTGATCTTCGGGCTGTCCTGGCTTCCGCTGCACGTGTGCGCGCTGCTGGAGGACTTCAGCTTCCTGTCGTGGAGCCAGCGCGAGACCATGCACCTGTATGTCTACCCCGTGGCGATGTGGCTGGCCCTGGCCAACACCTGCGTCAATCCCGTGGTGTACGGCGTGCTGAACAACAACCTGCGGGAGTCGTACCGCCACGCCACCCAGGCCGCGCACGGGCAGACGCCGCTGCTACTCGCCACCTCACGCACCCCGCGCTTCACGCACTCGCCCAGGACCAACGAGCACGTCCACATCGAGCTGAAAGAGCTCCGGTAAAAAAAAGCTACAAACCAAGAAGGAATCACTCATAGGACATTCAAACTCTAACTACGTTTCGAGTGACATTCACCACTCTTCTTCAGCGTCACTAATGAACTATCAGAACTAGTTTACATACAAGTAACTGGACAAAAACGGTTGAAGATGAAAACATTTCATATAGTGATTGATATGTTAAGAGGATATGTAGTTCCTATGGTAAACAATACCACAGGAACTGCTACTGTCCCTTAGGTTTGAATTTCCTATGAGTATTGCTTACTTGGATGTCTAACCTTCATCAACGTAATCGATCAAGAAGGGATCCGTTTCACGATGCTGCCGGGACGATATAAAGTGTGTGGGGTTGGGGACAATATGATGTCAACAAGGACAGAGGAATCACATGTATCGCTGTTGCCTATAAACATTACGGCTATCCCATCATAAGGATGCACCACAGGGTGTTATACTTGGGCCAAATTTTTCAATTTTCATTTTTTTCCACTTTATGATACAGAACATTGAAGATCCACCTTTGCCTTCAGTTCCCATGCATTTTGGATATAATTCACACGGTACAGTGACAGAAGACGATTCCCAAGTGCACTACAGTGAAATTGGCCGTAGATAGCTTCTCGAAAATTAAACGCCTTCTTCAACCAATGTCTGAAGAAGATAGAAGTGTTCTACCCTATCGTGTACACGGTACACGGTATTACATGGATCAGCATACCAACTGGTCAATACCTTAAAGGCATCCAATGCAATTTCAGGGTGGAGGGGGGGGGGCATAACAAAAATATTCTGGACGAGGGAAATTTTCCTGGTATTGACATTTTCTGCCTTTCCATAGCACATTTTAGTCATCATTTTCATACTCAAAGTGTTTGAAAAAGCCCCTTAAACAAGCTATTTTTCGGTACCGCTCATAAATAGCTAGAACCAGCCTATAGCTACGATACAAAACAAGCAACCGTTTTTTGTCAGCGCCTCAGAGATGTCAATATGCTATGAGATGGATTCAACTTACTACATTCAAAGAATGACCAGGAAATTGACTTTGAAATCCAGCTTTGCACCCAGACATGCCTGATATTGCACTTGATGGTTTTAGACGAAAAACTAGAAGCCATGAGATAAAAAAATCAATTTACCCAGAGAACAAAGATTGGTTTAGATTTCCTTCCTTCTCATGTGGAATTACACTGAGTAGAATCAACTGCAAGACCATACATGTATCCTAGAGACACAGACAGTAAAAAGGCCTGGAACTTCAGTCGGCGATGCCCAGGGACACGCTATAAACTATACCTTATATATTTTGTCGTTTTGTTAAAACTGGCATCTAGCTACTTTTCATGCCCATGTTCATGTTGTCTCCATATCATTAAATTTCACGAGGAGTTGGTATACTTCACAAGCCTCTCCCATGTATTCAGGACGGCTGCCAGTTGTTTACTGAGCAGGACTGTTTACCCTAGCCGGATCTTATATTGGGTACACAATTCCACCCATATCCAACTACATTTACATTTCTGCTGGGAACTTAGAAGAAGAGATATTTCAAAATTGGAATGGTTACCCAGTTGCAGTGGCATACTTTCCGGGCTCTGAACTTCAGGAGAAGATATTCTTGTAACTTGTGTTTAAGTTGTAAGAGGTTGTTGCATGGTTCTCGTGTACAGTATGTTACTTGTAGTTTTGTGACATTTGTGATACATGTCAGTACGGCCCAAGGAGCTTATGTAACGCCACAAGAATGTGTCCGACAATCATTTGACAAATATTGCATGATACATAAAGTACAGGGTAGACCTCGAAATGCGCCTCAACAAGATTTAGGTTTGTATCTAAAATTATAGGACTTTATTTAATGTATATGATTGTGGTAATCTTTATAATGACATTCTATGATTCTATCATGTTGTATTATATCATATTATATCATAAGTTGATGTCACGTTGTATAGCGTGAGACACCGTTGTTCATAAATGTATTTCTATATATTCCATATAAAATGTAAAATTAAAAAAAAAGAACTTGAGGTTTTGTTTCAAACGACAAGGTGTATTAAAATATTATATATTATGTATTATATTTCCTGGAAGTCTAAACTTTACAAACGTAATAAGGTTATATTGTTTTACTGTTGTGCCATGGTCAGTAAGTCTGTTAATTTAATAATTTATGTATTTATCTATTTTATTATTTCCTTATATCTTGATTATGATACATGCACAAGGCAAGGTACACTTAGGAGTAAATAAAGAATGTCGTCAGCTGCTTTCTACAAAAACCTTCAAGAAAGAGCACTGTTCACTTAAAACAACTTTCTCCAATTTGAAAATATTCAAATATGCTGTATTCCAAGTTCTACTTTTCTCTATTCCGTTTGTATTGTTTAAAGGTTTCTAGTGAAATTCTTGTTATGTTTTGTTTGTGTGATATTGAAGTGGTTTTTAGTTGTCATTGATCGTAAGATTATAAAATATATTTCGGTGTTGCTTGATGTCATAACTACAAGTAGCATACGGATGTAATTCATAAACGAGAGAAATACACATTCTTTTCAGAACTCATATTTACTATATTTACTATATGTAAATATGTATACTAGACTGGAATTTGTCAAAGAAATCAGAAGACTTATTGAAATATATCAAAGATATATCACGTCAAAAGTAATAATAATAATAAGATATATGTGAAGTAAAAAGAGAACGCTTATTTTGTGTTAATTGTGAAAAGAGAATAAAGGATGTTTATATTTTACTTTCTGTGTGTTGTGATGTTTTATCTATTATTCCTGAACTGTAGATGAGGCGTCTTCAGACTTATTATTTATTAGGAGAGTCAGGCACAACCAGGCAGAATGAAGAATTCGCAAAATTGTGCCAAATTCTCAAAAACTGGGCGGGCGGAGTGAGATTGAATGCCGTCTGAATGAATTGTTTTAATATGTTCCTGGCTTTTCCAAGTGCATTCTTCAAAATTCGGGGTTTATTTGAATGCAATCAGAAATGTTTCGAGCGCTGTTGGAATGTTGCAGGAATACTTAGCATAACGGGTGAGTGACAACAGTCGAAATTCGAACTCCCAATCTTTGGTCCAGAGGCAGGGTCTCTTGAATGTGTCGAACGCTGTTGGAATAATGTACGAATATTCAGCATGATAGTGGGATGGACGACAACAATCATTTTCAATTTCACTCGAGATTCGAACGCCCAACCTCTTGGGCCAGAGGCAGGGTCGTTAACCACTGGACTGCGCACTTCACAAGATTGTGTAGCCACGATCCCATGGTTATATAAATATAATAAAGGGTTGTATATTAAATAAACCGGTGCTAGACACTAACGGAGAGGCTATAATAGGCTGTAATGGAAGAAAGCACCATAAATTAAACTCTGGCATTTTGAAATGCCACAATTACGCTTTAATTGCGAACAAACGCACGCATGGCCCACGCATGCCTCAGGCATTCTGAATTCAGCTTTGTTCATTATGAGGGGAACTGGGGCAGCACTTTCATTCCTTTCTAAGTATATAGATTAAAGTTAATATATGTAATGAATCAAATAAGTTGAACGAAGCCATGTGGTGATTTGTATAACAAATTTGTCCTTTCGTGTTCTACTTTGAAGCACCCGAATTCTTGCCGGGATGATTTAAAAACTACGGCAACATGTTTATTGGGTTAAGGATGTGCAACGCTAAAGATAGAAAAGAGCAGGTATTGAGCGTGGCCTACGCATCAAGACCAATTACCATTAACAAAAGAAGACCATTAACAGATTGTAAAAGCAGTCTCAAGTGCAGAAGCGAAGTTCTAGTTCTGTGTGGGAGGGCGACGCTCTCGTACACACAACTCTAAGGAATATTGACGACTACTGTACCAGTACCAGTTTCTGCCAACCAGTGACACAGTTACACCGTACACATAGGAACATGATAGGATTGACCACGTTTCAAAAGCGAAGCCGAAAACTCTGAGAAAAGTCGCCATCTCTGCAAAACACACCATCAGGCAGGTTTTTCATGGTAGAACTGACTCACGACATACCAATGGATGAATGAACCTTTAGCTGGTGTGTTATGCCGAAAGGCGTTTATACCGGCTATACAGATACAGATACAGACAGAACCTGACTTGAACCACTGCTAGGTACTTTGCATCATCTTCCTAATTTTTTTTCCAGTTCGTGTCTCTTAATACTTTCATTAATTTTTCTGGATTCTTTAGCTGCAATCCTCCATATAGATGGATCTGACGTCTATAGATAACCTCTCTTAAGGACTCCAACCCTACTTCAGAACTCCCACGGTCGGATTATAACTCTTGACCTTGTGACCCAAAAGACGGCTTGCTAACCACTCATCTCGATGATGACGTCACAGAGATAGACCGCTTAGAGATATTACCTCTGTATCTTTCAACTGAATAAAATACATCATTTAATATCAAATAAGCCAGGAATCTCCTGCAGAAACGTACATAAGAAGACGAGAAAGTGCTCAAGATTTTGATGTGGTGACTCTGACTTTAATTGATCCTTTTGTTGATTTACGTCAAAGATTCTATTAAGAAATGAGATACTGTAGAGGTATCTGATTGGCATGATCCCCAACAGAGGATAGCTGTGCCTCTGAATTTCATTGAACCTTTTTATTGGCTACGTCAAAGATTCTATTAAGAAATACGATGCCATGATACTGTCGAGTTATCTGATTGGCATGGATCCTAACAGACAATTACTCCTGCTGTGCCCTTGATTTTGATCGGATCTTTTGATTGGCTGAAAGATCCTATTAAGCAATGCGATATACAGTGAGGTTATCTGATTGGCATAATCTCTAATAAATGATAACTCCTGCTTTGCATCTGATTTTTTTTAAAATTCCAACATGTAATCACAAGACGTGGTGGGGGCACACACAAGTTTTATCAACTTGTTTTAATACCGCCACCAACACAGGGGACAATACACTACTCATTTCCACCTGAGCGAAGTGAGGAAAGTCGTATAAAGTGCCTTTCCCAAGGGCATCTGAATTTGATGGATCTTTTGTTTGGCTGAAAGATTCTATTAAGAAATGCAATACAGTGAAGTTATCTAATAGGCATGATCTCTAACCTACGATAAGTCCTGCTGTGCTTGTGATTTTGATTGAATCTTTCGATTGGCTGAAAGATCCTATTAAGAAATGCGATACTGTCAGGTTATCTGATTGACATGATCCCTAATAGACGATAACTCCTGCTTTGCATCTGATTTTTTTTTTTATTCGAACATGTAGTCACAAAACGTGGTGGGGACACTCTCAAGTTTTTTCAACTTGTTTTAATGCCGCCATCAACACAGGGGGACAATACAATACTCATTTTCACCTGAGCGAAGTGAGGAAAGTCGTGTAAAGTGCCTTTCCCAAGGGCATCTGATTTTTATGGATCTTGGAGAACAGTTGGATAACAGTTTGAGAACAGTTGGAGAAGTTGGAGAGTTGGAGAATAGTTTAAATTTCTCATGATGTAATTTACCAACTCAGATGAACTTTCATGCTGATTACTCCTGCTGCGCCCTTGATTTTGATCCGATCTTTTGATTGGCTGAAAGATTCTATTAAGAAATGCGATACAGTGAAGTTATCTAATAGGCATGATCTCTAACCTACTATAGATTTTGATTCAACCTTTTGATTAGCTACGAAAAAGATTCATGAAATGCGATACAGTGAGGTTATCTGATTGGCATGATCCCCAACAGACGATAACTCCTGCTGACACCGTCTATGAACTGTCTCTTCCCGAGTCGACCCTTCCCTGCCCGGTCGATCAGCCGGAATTCACGGTCAACGATTGCCGCGAGCTCCTCGTCAGTGTTGCCGGCTTCTTTGTTGGTGCGTAGGTCGTTATACAGCTGAAAAGTGTGATATTGATCCTTAGTTGAAAAAAGTACACTAGAAAATATCATCATTTGATATAACCTAAATCGTACCAAAATTCATTATTAGGCTCATTCGATTATACATTACTACATATAATACTAGCCCTTGTTGTTTTGGTAATTAGGATATAAAAGTTTTATTCTATACCCTTTTTGTACAATGTTAATTTGTTGGCATACATAATATTGTACCTTGTACAATGGTCGTGCAGTAAAGTTATGATATCTTCATGATATCCCTGTCAGTATGTTGCTTTGAAAGAGGAACTCCTTTTTCATTTGATAAAGATTATTTTAAGAGTATTCAAGCCGTGACTCCAGAATATTCTTAGACCATGTTGATTATATGGATGATGACTAGATTTCATGATGAAGGTACCTGATTTTGCCAAACATTCTTTTCATTTGCACGCTCGCATCTGTTTTGGAGTTCCTAGAGGATGTCATCCATACAATCAAATCAACATGGCCTAATGAAGATCACAACTGGACCTATAGAAAACCGCTCCTACCAGCAGAACTCCTTCCATGTCTTCTCTGCTCACCATGCCGTCTCCATCCAAGTCGAACAGGATAAAAGACCACTCCAGCTTCTCTAGCGTGTCTCCCCTCAACAGTGTACTCATGGCGAGCAGGTATTCCCTCAGACTCACATATCCGTTATCGTTCCTGTCAAACGCCTTGAAGATCTGCCTGGCAAGAGTTTTCTTACTCCCTTCGTTGGCGTTGATGTAAAAGTTTCCGAAGTATTCCACGAATTCATCCTCGGAGAGTTTCCCATCAGGGACGTCCTGGTAGAATATTTTCATCCAGTATTCGGCTTCGTGCCTTGCAAAATGTGTCGTAGGTCCAACTTTGCTCAGCATCTTCTTCATTTCACGTTTCTCCTTAAATCTTGACCAGAGGATCCCCATGCTGTTGCCTAGTACATGCCACACGCACAGCTCTCAAAATTAATAAAAATTGACTTATGTCTTTTCAGTTGTCCACAATTCCTTTGGCGTAGAATTATATTCGATCAATAAATGTCATAATGCATATTCCATGTTCTGAATGACCTCTTAAGTGCTGTAGTCACCTTATCGATATCCTTCCGGTTTAAAGGCATGGGCGATCTGACCTTCAGTGCTTCAATAACAGATTACCTGCGAAAATGGCAGCTAGGTCAGCTAAGGAGGACAACTTTGACAAGAGCGGTCCGGTGGCTACAGTACGGACGAGAATTTCTGTGTGCCCGAGACAGTGAGTAAATATCCAGTTGATCTAGTATTCACTAACGTTTCCTTCGTTGTATACAGAGCTAGAGAGAGGCTTGTCTAAATAGGTATTGATTTTGACGGGATTACCGAACAATCCCCTGTACAGTGCACGAACCAGTACACGACTTGCCTGCGGCAGTTTGTCAAGTTGTTGTTGCTAGGGTCTTTTTCAGATCGTTCTGTTTGAAGAACAGAATGTCACATCGCGTTACATCAGTATTTACAGACGTGGGATAGATGCTACACGTACATTCCAACGTGTAGTGGCGCTATGGCGAAAGGAACAGTTATATATAGACTTCTTAGGCAAGAGCCCCTCGATGTTGTAACTGTGTGAGTGTCACCCACACTTCAATAGCCTGGTATCCAGTCTATCGTGGTTGGGGCAGGCAGACTGTTCTCGGGGCTCTATCCCGGCGTCCAGCTCAACAGGCCACCCGGTGGGAGTTTTAGGCTTGTAGAACCTTTGCCCAATAGAGTTGTGTACGCCAGAAGTTGGTTAGTCCCACCACATACAAGAGACTGTGGGCAAAGGAATGGCAGTAGTCCAGGCGAGCTTCTGCCGACACTACAACAGAATGTTTGGGAAAAGCTGGCAAAGTCCCTTCAGTCTGAATGTATTGAAAGTAGGAATAGTGAAGGTCTTACATATCCAGACGACTCAGTTAGACTCCAGGGAACACATGTCCTCTCCTTCTGCAGCACCGTGCATGGGGTATAAACACAGTTCCCCCCAGAGACCGGCCCGATAAAATGTGGTTAAACAACTCCTTGCCAACAAGACAATAGTGGACGAGCCCAGTTAGCACAGGGGTGGGAGCGATAGAAGCACACCTGTTTTGGGGAGGGGGGTGTTATTTCCATTTTTCACTCCATATTTTAACCGTGAGACATTCTTTAGGATGTATTCTTAAAATATAAGTAGGGAAGATATAACTAGTGATAATCATCTTACCTTGATTAGCATCAATTATCTCTAAACCCAGTCTACTGCACATTTTCTCTCTATCCTTCTAACTCGGTCAATTTTCCTACGCGTGTTTTAAAAAGAAGAAAGAGACCTTGTAGATATAGACGTAGTATATTAAGGTAGTACACCTTTCTCCTACCCGATATCTAGCCAAATGCATTTTGCCCATATAGGTCGTGAGTATTCAATAAAGTTCATTGTCATTGTCTATCAATAAAAAGTTGACATTACCTTCATCCTACATAACTATAGAAAGTATATTACGAACTTTCTCAATCTGTAGTTTAACTAGGTTAGACACGTACCAACTTTAAAGCCTAAAGTCTGCCTATGTCATATAGTATAGTATGGAATACTACGGTGATCAAATCCAGAAACACCCCTTCGTAGTGTCACAAATGGGATCGTCTGCACGCCAGGTGTGTTATTTGCTTGCATGGCAGGTAAATATGGTTGAGAGCCAACTAATCAAACACTGTGACAACACATGTCATACATTGTGCTAAATAGGTCAGTACTCGGGACGTTAACAATAGAGCCTGCTTACCTGATCTAGCTTCTAACTGTGAAGGTACGTGTACGGACAGTGTTGATGTTCACGGAAACCTTTCTACTGTAAAATGTATTCCCAGATGGGACTTGATGTGGTTTAGACATCAAGCCTGGATGTTAGACCCCTGACACACTACCTAACTGAGGAGGGTGGTATACTAGTAATTTCCTTGGAGGCATGTTGGCCCTGGAGCCGAGGAATAGGTCTGTATAGGCCTTGGAAAAAGTCTGGCACCCAGGCCAGGTTACATCGGACAATGCCGACTTTGTCTAGCCCGAAGCCAGACCCATAGTACGCTAAGCTCGGAGTTAGGCCTCCTAACTGAGGGGGCTGCAGTATAATTTCCTTTTGGGGCATATTGGTGTTGGAGCTGAGGAACTGCGCTGGTACATACCCTGAAAACTGTCTGGGACCCAGGCTAAACTTTTACTACTATGCTTGGTCCGCGCTTCAACCAGGACTGCTGCAAATAAGAATATTACCTCTTTAACACGCTATCTGGTCATTAATAAAAGACTTAGCTGACAAAGCTATTAATTTTGAAGGGTCAGCATGTAAACAATGCGGTTTCATTTGCATGACGATTAAATGAAGGACATGTAGATTCAACAAGGGACCAATTCATCATCCACTGATGAACAAACTTTAAGGTAATTTGCAAACAAATCGCTAGATGGCGAACCTTGTCTTTCCACTGCGCCGCACGAACAAGAAAACGTGTTTATTGGTGTCTGCCTCCAGTATATCTGATTATGGGTGTTTGAAATCTACATTTGATATAGTATAAATGAAGTTGCAAGTCCATCTCTGTTGTACAAGCAAATTGTGCGTTCGAAATTTTGGGGTAAGTGCAACTTCAGGTGAAGGAAATTAGTTTCAACGTGGAGATATTAAAATTTTCGGAAATATTGGCCTTCATTTGACATGACCTTTTCATTGCCCTCTTCTTCCGTGGCGTCTCTGCACTTGCATAGATGAGGTCTCAAACCATGCAGTCTGACTACTGACGCCCCCTACCGAATTTTGCTGGAACTGGCCCTACCTTGACCTACAACAAGGCGAATCACGTAACTTGTATCGCACCAGACAACGTCACAGAGCTAAACTAGACTGACACTCCAGAAAATTAGACTGAGAGTTTCTTCCTAGCCTCTATATGTTGATTCCTCTGAAACGCAGACTGACAGTATTGTTGACCTGCCAAGGTTGATCCATTTAGTACCAGGTGTCTCATCACTCAAATTGAGAAGGTCACGGAACAAAACCAGAATGACACATGGGGAAATTGAAACACACTATCTCACCAAGACGATCCTAGGAATGCCTGATGTGAATTACGCATTGCGATGTGCCGAAAATAACGTTAACGTTACAAAGAGACTTGATTCCTTGTGCAAAATGTGCCAATGATAAAACCTGGCATTCATACATCCCTGACTGCCCCTGCCTTCCCAAAGGAAGTGGTATTGATTTCATTTAAGTTTTCAAGGTAAGCAAAAAAAAAGGATGGTGTCAAACTGAATCATGACTGCATGGGCTTCTCGGTTCCTATTAAAGCATTCTTTTCGGTTATGTTTTAAGTAAATTTTCCCTATTTAAGGTATTTGAATAGTATAGAGAAATTTATATTCCTTACAGCTTTTGCAAAACCAACTCTAACCAATCATACAGCCAACTACATTACACGATAAAATTACCAAGAAGAGAGAAGAAGTCAAAAGTACTTGTATAGTGTGTATACTGAAGTTTATACACGCATGTATACACATCTATATACATTATACATGGTTGGTTAATATGTGACCTGTGCTTAGCGCAGTAGGGCAAAATGTACCATAAAGGCCATGCACCATTCATTCATCAAACCTTTATTGCATGCTTATTTCTTGACATCTAGATTCGCAGCAATTTTAAAAGCTATTATCTAAAATATCGTTGTATCACTAGACCTAGACCTAAACTGGCCTTTTCTATGTCTAGACGGCGGTTTCATAAGCACCAAGAAATTGGCTCGACCGTTAACCCTGAGCAGCAGACAATACATGGGGATTCTTCTGTAATAGGATCGAAGGAAGGGGATCGGTGTTGGCCTTAGTAAGGACATGTAGGTTATGAAAATTTTACTATATTGACGACCTGTCAGAGGGCGACTTACGGTGGTCATAATACAACACGCACAGAATAAGAAGAAGGAAGAAGGTCTCCCGTGCTCTTATGCAGAGCGTAGGGTGGTGCCCATCTCCATTTCGTAGCCCTTGGGCGACACACAGTTGTGCAAGGCACTACAGCAGGGGGCTGGTCCGCTGGTAGTGCTGTGTGTTTGACCTTCCCACGCTCTTTCTCATATGTGCTGAGTGCTAAGCAGAGTAAGAAGTGTGTACCATTTTTAAAGTCTTTGGTATCATGGCCCGGCCGGGGTTTGAACTCACGACCTCTGTCACCAAGAGCTTTCGACCAGTCACTCTGGTCTTCCTCAGTAGACTGACCCAGTGAGGCTTGCCACATGGTTCATCACCATTCACTCAACCGATTATTAGTTTGCTATAGATGCTGTAACTTGTATCACTGTTTGTGCACCTTTATTTAACTCGTAAGAGTAAGAAATGTACAATGAAGGTCTTTCATTCATTCAACATCGCATAGGCGTGGTTTCCAACTCTAGGTCCCAATTCAACTGCAGAGTCGACGCGGTCTAACGCCGGGCTTTTAGACTGTAATGAGTGAGCGGACACTTACATTAGGTCTATGAAAAATAATGTTGTGTTTCCGATTTCGAAAGTAATGATTTATTTTGTTTTATTTTATTTTTTAGATCCCGGCTAAATGGTCCAACAAACAAAGTTGGGCTGTCTGCTTGTGGACAAATATTTCACCCGATTAAGTGAAGAAAAAATGCTTCTGCGTTAAATCACGTTCAAATGGTTTGAAATTCAGATCCGTATATATTTTACATCCATACCAGCGGTAGATAGAAAGACTGGGTCAGTGGGTTTTGCTAGGGTCGATCGGGAATCCAAAATCAATTTTTCCTAGGCCTTATTCACACCAGAGAGAACCAATTAGGTTACTTGTTATTTGACGTGCCTCTAATTGCTCCGTTTCGCATGAGAAGTGTCCAGACCAACTGGTCCAATACGCCTTCCGACGAAGTAAACAAGCTATTTTTAGGTCCATGTAGTGGCTCGCTGCATCACTTTTGATTATTAACGGTACACGGCTTGTCAGGAAAACTTGTCGCTGAAAATGAATCATTTGTATAAGGGTAAACAACTTTGCCTCAAAATAACACATAGGCAATAGTGTAGCTTGTGTCAATATGAAATTCAACAGGTTGATATGGTTTTCAAGAAGTCGTCACAATAAGCCTGCGTGCTTTGAAAACCAGATAACAAGCTGTTTTTGTCTTTGAGAGTCGTCGTGCGATCGTAAACTG